TCCATGGAGTGATCTTCCAGCCTTTACAAGTGGGCAGTCAACTCTTAGAATACTTATAATTTATTTTTACAAAGTGCGCTGCAGTTCTCATCTTCCTTAACTCCTCAACAAGTTGTATGACAAACCCAAAGCCATGCATTTAAATTAAGTACTGAGCGGAATTTGAATACCACATGGAAACTCAGGACTTGTCTCTCCTATTTTGTGTGGTCTTTGTGTCTGATTTCAGTTAATGTGGTTGTGGTGGACACATCTAATTGCATTTGTTATATCAGTCATGCTGATTATAACTGTTCCATTACAGAAGAGCTCTGAACTGTGTTTTCTGGCAGTAATTCTTTGGTGCTGCCTTAGCTATACACTGAGTAAAACTTGCTCAGTCCTTTGTTTCAACTTTGGGGAGCTCTTGTTATCTTAAAGGACTTGGTGCAGAGATCATCCAAGATGTTAGCCTGAAGAAGAGAGAATTGCTAGCAGATCCCAACTGAGATACAGTTGAGTATGAGAAGTCCATGCCCATAATACCTTTTGAAGTTGCTCAGTTCTTGAAGATAGCTCACTCTGTTTTCTGCTTTGGAGGCTTAGGCCTCAATATTGATCCTAGTCTCACTAAGTTGAACATTCCACTAAATATAGATATTTACGCTATTCCTATCCTCAGTTAAATATATTATCCAGGGCTTTCTTTTTCCATCTCTGGCAGATCAGGCAATTGGCCCCCTACCTCTCCCCCCAGGACTTGGCTACAGTGACCCATGCAATGATTATTTCTAGGCTTGATTACTGTAACTCGCTTTATGTGGGCTTGCCCAAAGACTGATCTGGAAACTCCAAGTAGTCCAGAATGTGGCAGCACGCCTGCTGATGGCATCGCCTGTGCAGGCATGCATTTGGTAGGTATTGTGCCACTAGCACTGGCTACCAGTTGAGTACCGGGTACATTTCGAGGTGTTGGTACTAACCTTCAAAGCCTTACATGGCCTGGGACTAACGTATCTGAAGGACCGCCTCTTCCCATATGCGCCCCAAAGAGCCTTGCGCTCACAGGACCAATATTTACTGGTTACCCTGGGCCCAAAGGACGTCTGTTTAGCCTTGACCAGGGCCAGGGCTTTTTCTGCCGTGGCCCTAGCCTGGTGGAATCAGCTCCCACTGGAGATCAGGGCCCTGCGGGACCTTTTATCATTTTGCAGGGCCTGCAAAATGGAGCTGTTCCTCCAGACCTTTGGTTGAGGCGGCGGGTGTCCACCTCAGTTGACCTTTCTGCTTTAGTTCCCAACATGCTGAAAGGGCCCATCTGATTCCACCTTGTGGCCCCAACAGATTTATATTGCTGCTACCAATTTTATTTTTATGATTTTAATGTGATTTTGTTGTAATGAGTCTTTGATTGGATTTGTGGTGATCTGCCCTAAGCCCATTTGGGGAGGGCTGAATAAAAATACCATAAATAAATAAATAAATAATTCAAATCTATGATGGGACACACAGGAATGGGATGCTGTGATGGCTTGCCAGGTGCCCTCTGGCTACCAGCGGGGAATGAGAGTGTACAGTTGCCTGATCCAGGTTGGGAAACTCCTGGATATTTGGGGATGGAGCCTGGGGAGGAGAGGGACAAAGCCATACAGTCCACCCACCAAAGCATCCATTTTCTCCAGAAGAACTGATCTCTGTAGTCTGGGGATGAACCATAATTCTAGGAGTTCCCTAGTTCCCATATGAAGGCTGGGATTCTCATGCTGTACCTACTCCATTACTGTGTGTGGTCAGACAGGCATGTATATAATAAGTAAATGAGAATAATGTACATGCCTACCTCTCCCTGAAAACTGCTGTGGGTTGCTCACAGCATAAGACAGTTGGACAGTTGAAACATATAGTGTTATAAAACTAACCTAGGTAAAGGTAAAGGTTCCCTTGCTCGAAAGCCAGTCGAATCCGACTTTAGGGTTGCGGTGCTCATCTCCGTTTCAAAGCCGAAGAGCCAGCACTGTCCGAAGACGTTTCCGTGGTCATGTGGCCGGCATGACTAAACACCAAGGCACACGGAACGCTGTTACCTTCCCACCGAAGTGGTACCTATTTATCTACTTGCAATTTCTAGGCAATAACAAAAAAATCAGAGCACAAAGCTTAGCAGCATAAACCCAAAATAAAAAACAACCTCATAAAACCCATCAGCTAAAAACAGGCCATAAAATGCAAAATAAGGTATAAAATAACTGAGTAATGGAGTGGGGTGGCTAAAAGCCAAGACAAGCAAGAATGTTTTGACCTGGAGCCTTAATGTCAATAGAGTAGGCACTTGATGCACCTCCAGCAGGACAGTATTCCAGAAACAGGACACCATCACCAAGAAAGCCCTGTCTGCAGTCGCCACCCTTCTTTCCTCCATTTGTAGAGGCCCAGAGCCAGCATGGAGGCAGGATCCTAAACAGAAAAAAAGATACAGAAGGAGGCGGTCCTTCAGGTACTCAGATCATAAGGGCTTTAAAGGTAAGCACTGCCATTTCAAACGTGCCTGGAAACTGATAGGCAGCCATTGCACAACTGTTCTTTACTTAACTGGATTCTCCAGAATAATAAAGACCTGGTACGGAGCCCAGGATACATGTAGGAAAGGGGTGCTGTCTCCTGTCTATTACCATTCATAATAGACTCTCAACCCAAGGAGTGACCTGCACAAATTTTCATAGCATGGCGAGTTACCTCTGCAAGCTTGGAAGGAATACTGGGAATCTGCAAAGAGTGAAGTCAGCAATGAAGTTTAACGGGGGGCAGAGAGAGAATAATATGCACAGGTTGTTGACGAATTAGCAAATTCGAGTAGGCATATTGGCAGGCAAGGCGGGATATAAATCTAAAATAATAAATACATTAATTAATAAATAATAGCAAGCATTCTGCAATAATACCCGACAGTAGAATGCCCACATTAAGAGCCAAATATTCCAAGCAACCACGCACACTACATAATGTAGTCCACTCAAAGGAGGGGCCAAGGAGGTAGAGTAGGAGAATAGAGCAGAGTTACCTATAGCTGTCTCTATGTGTAGGATCAAGAAAGGTGCAATTCCCAAAGCCAGAATCCAGGCATCTGAGTAGCCAGTAAGGGGAGCAGCACAGAAGAAACTTAACAAATCAGAATGGTATGTTGTCGAATGGGTTCTCTGCTGCTCATAGAAAACAAGAGCAGCCGAGCAAATGTTCAATTTGCAGACAGATTCTGGCCCCAGTTTTAGGAGGACTTTCAGGACTGGGAAGAGGAGAGGGAATACATTCAACTTGGCTGAGGAAGAGGATGGTCCTGGCTGTTAGCTGTATGTTAATTAAAAAAAAAGTAAGGGGGAGATGTATCTGGAGGCAGTCCTTGGTTACCTTCCTATTGGGGTTTTGGTAGGCATCTTAAACAGTCCAAATCACATTAGTGGGATAGTCAAACCTAGAATCATCTCCAGGGTCATCTAGTCTAACCCCCTGCTCAATGCAGGACATTCACAAATACCTCTCCCTCCACACACGCACAACCTGTTTGTGTAGAAATGCAAATATAGCTACAGTTGCTCTCTTGGTGGAATGCTCATGCAGTGTGATCCTTTGTGCTGAAAACATGCTAATCACTCAAGCAGCCATATTTTAATGATCTAATAGCCCGAGACTAGCAGCATCCAGCTTGTGTCGGGAACAACAATTTCCCACAACAGGTGTGGTGAAATTAGGTGTGGTCTGACTCATCCTGCTAGCCCTTGGGCTTTTGATGGGATATAATGCCCAGCAACTTTGTTTACTTGGATTTTTAATCCGTGGGTTTTTCAAACATGTGTGGGTTCTTTCTCTCTTTAATGGACTGTTTGGTTTCCTTGCAACTTGTTTTGGTTCTGTTAGCCACTCTGAGTGTAAGGAGATAAGGTAGGAGGTAATATTTTAAATAAAATTCAATAAATCATGTAAGAGATTAGTGGAATGTATGTAGGATGGATCCCTGAGAGACAGCAAGAAGAATCTCTGTCATCATTATAATGATTCAGAGCTATCAAGTCAGAACCGCCTCATGGTGATCCCAGGACCATGCAGTTTTTAAGGCAAGAGATAAGCAGAAGTGGTTTGCTGTTCCCTTCCCCTGCATAGGAACCCTGGTGTTCCTTGGTGGTCTCTCATCCAAGCACTAACCAGGCTGACCTTACTTAGCTTTTGGGCTCTGATAGGGTTGCCAAGTCCATCTTCCACCCCCAGCGGGGGACTTTGGGGGCGTTCCTGGAGGGGGTGTGGCATCCCCAACGTGATAACATCACGTTGGGGACGTCTGCCACCACCCCCACCCGCCCGTGCGCCAGATCTCCAGAAATGGCAGTTCCCTGCACTTAAAGTAGCCGGCAGCCAGCGTTTCCCCTTTAAGAGCAGCTGCGTTTCCCTTTTAAGAACGAAGCTGGCTTTTCCCTGCAAGCTTGCGGAGTTCGCGCTTGGGATGAAACACGGGTTGCACACACTTAAAGGTAGAGAGATGGGTGGCTGTGGGTGTTGGGAGAGGGGCTTCCCCAGCGGCGGGTAGAACCCCCCCAAAACGGGGGACCCCTGACAAACCGGGGGGTTTGGCAACCCTAGGCTCTGATGAGGTTAGGCTTGTCTGGGCTTTTCAGGCTGTTGAGTAATCTCTGGTTTACTGTAAATCATGCTATGATTCTTCTCCAGCAGAGCCCCTTCAGCAGATGATGTTGTTGTCCGACTCTTCACGACCCCATGGACCACATCACGCCAGGCCCTCCTGTCTTCCATTGTGCTCTGGAGTTTGCTTAATTTCATGTTCGTTGCCTCGATAACACTGTCTAACCATCTCATCCTTTGCTGTCCCCTTCTTCTTTGACCTTCAGTCTTTCCCAGCAGATGTGCTTTATTTTAAAGAACATTCTCTAACCAGCAATTTTGGGGAGTGGGTGGGTTCTTTTGACTATTTTACTACTCACACTTAATAATTTATTTTTCTCTCTTTTCTATTGTAGGTTCATAGCCAAACCATGTGCCTTAGGCTTAAAAGTCCAAGCCAGTGGACCACAAAAAGCTCAGCCTAATGCTATTCTTGAAAAGGTTTTCACTGCAATTACGAAGGTATGGTATCCTTTTAGATTATTTCATATTTTCTTTATCACGGTAGTAGCTGTTCCATATTTCCCGTGATCAGGAAACCAAAATGGCTTCAGAAATCAATTCTTGGGTGAGCTTTCCTCAGTCCTCTAGACTAAACAATTTCAAAAGGCTTTGCCTATGTAAACGATTTATCAGCAGAGTTCTCTGGGACTTATCTTTTAAAGGATGATTATCAACCTTTAAATCTGATAATACAAATAAGTAAGGGATGAGTTTGGTTCTTTGAACTATAACCAACAAATCAAACGGAAAACCTGCTGAAACTTTCATATTTTAGTAAGAGAAGGAATTGTTTTCTTTATTATGCAAGACAGTGGGAAATACAAGCATGTAAAAAATGAACCCTACGCTTAATGTAAAAATACGTGTTAAAATTATTTTAAGTTCCTAATGTGGCTTAATCATGTTATAGCATGTAATAGTTTAAAAAGCAAACCAGGTTTCAGGTTTTTGTCTGATTGCTTTTAGGGATTATCAAACAGCCTAGATTACACACCCACAAATCTTTCCTAGTTTTCTTCTGAGTCGTCCATCCAGAGGAACCGGATTTACCTATCACAGTAGTGCAGTGGTTCTCAACCTGTGGGTCGCGACCCCTTTGGGGGTCGAACGATCCTTTCACGGGGTCGCCTAAGACCATTGGAAAATGTGTAACAATGAAAATACATCCTGCATATCAGATATTTACATTACGATTCATTAGCAAAATTACAGTTATGAAGTAGCAACGAAAATAATTTTATGTTTGGGGGTTACCACAACATGAGGAACTGTATTAAAGGGTCGCAGCATTAGGAAGGTTGAGAACCACTGCGGTAGTGCATAGTTATAAATAAATATCAGTCTTATCTTTTTCTAAATCTGTTCTGTCATAATCATGTGATTATTATTTAGATAGTTGATTGGTTCCTAACTAAATATGAGGCAATCAGCACAAGTGCATATGAGTTACATCTAATATAGCAAAATAAAGAAGTCCAAACTCAACTCTTAACGTCTATTAAAAAGTAGTTAGTCTAACTTTTCTGTAACTGTTTCAGTTAACTGTCAAAGATTAAAGAAACTTTGAGCAAACAGATTTCACTGGCTGCTGAAGAGTGCTTGAACGCTCAGTTATTATGCAAAATCAGCAAACAGCAGGAAAAAGTTGGCAGTACAATAACTACCACTAGAATGTGTTGTGTCAGACCTTAATTTTGGGAGCAGCATTAATTGCTTAAGGGAGCAACACTAATTAATTAGGGAGATCTTAGTGTTGGGGGCAAGGAGGGCATTAAAATATGCATTCTTCACCAGTAGCTCCCAAATTGGTGCTCCGTATAGGACATATCTCCTTGACTCTTCTGAAATACCTCCTACTCCAATGAGTGGTAGGAAAGCTAGGATTGGCTCTTTGCTGTGGGGAAGCAGCAAGTGTGCTCCAGGAAACCCACTGGTAGACACCATGGCATCCGTAGTCACCCTGCTGACATTACTCCGGTTGCGCTAGACTTCGTTCTCTGAGGCACTTCTGGCCAAGTCCAAATTCTGCATGCTTAAATATAGCCCTGAGATATGAACTGTGGTCTGTCATAATTGCAACTCCAACTATTTCCATGCTTGGATTGTGGATTGCATACCATCCAAATATACAGAACTATTCCCAAGAACTTGCCCAGAAGGAAAACTGTTTTGTGAGAAAAGATATAATGTGATGTTGAAATCCCACATGTGGTGGTAGTATTATAAAAGGTAAAGGTTCCCTTGCTCGAAAGCCAGTCGAATCCGACTCTAGGGTTGCGGTGCTCATCTCCGTTTCAAAGCCGAAGAGCCAGCGCTGTCCGAAGACATTTCCATGGTCATGTGGCTGGCATGACTAAATACCAAGGCGCACGGAATGCTGTTACCTTCCCACTGAAGTGGTACCTATTTATCTACTTGCAGTTTCTTGCTTTCGAACTGCTAGGTTGGCAAGAGCTGGAACTAGAGACGGGAGCTCACTCCGTCATACGGCACACTTGGGTCTCGAACTGCTGAACTACCGACCTTCCACAGCCTGCAGTTCAGCGTCTTAACCACTTGAGCCACCGCAGGTCCATTATAGTATTATATAGTATTATAGTAGGGTGCAAAGAGTTCCAGGAGAGGATGCCTTTCTGGGGAACTGACACCTAGATCAGTGTCTGTTTTGAGACACGTTTATCAGAGTTACGCAGCTATAGGAAGTTTGTTCCACATTTCAGTCTCAAATTGGCATTTATTTTGCAGAATTTGCAGGTGCAAATATTCATGTGTGATTGTCTAAGATAAATATTTTTTTAAAAAAGCTCTCCCTTTCAAAATGTTCATGAACCCTTTTTTTCTGATGCCAGCTCTTACCCACTTGTCAGCATAAGATGCCCAGCAATGCCCTTTGCCCATCCTTATTCCTCCGCCGTAAATTGCTTGAACTGAATGAAGGAACTCCTACATTGAAATGTAAATGGGTAAAGCATATGGAAATGGTTGGAGGAAGTAGCAGAGCTCAGCTCCCAAAACTTGGGATGGAAATCCATCAGAAGTGATCTCTGTGTGCTGCTTTTACTTTCCAATCCTGCTCTATTACAAGAACTGTAGCATATAAGTATGAACTTCAGCTTTCTGGAAGACTCAAATGTCAGTGTGCACCAATTATTTTTAAGAGCCAGGTGAATGGTATCTATCTAGCTAGATTATGCTGATGGCTGGCAGTTCTAATGCTAGAATCTGTAGTAATGAGTGCCTCAGGCTGCTGTTTTGAAAATTATTTTGAATTCCACTGGGGCAAGGAGGTTTGCATTAAAATATATTGTAAAATGCACTAGTTGAGGCAAGCCTTGCATATTGGTTTTGCGGGGTCAAGTGTAGGCTCTGAAGACATTATGGGACTTTGTACATTGGTGAAATGCCGAGGAGGTGCTCAGACTGCTATTTGGAGGTTCGGTTTTCTGCAAATGACATCTGTACGAGGGGTTCTGGCTCAGTGCTAGGCCAGGTTCAGACCCTGGCACTTTCAGTTAAAGGAGCTCAGGGTTATGTGCCAGACTTTTACTGGAGTGGAGACCCTGGAGAGACACTGCCTATCAGAGTAAACGACACTGACCTTGTGAGAGCCACAGTCCGGCTCTATATGAGGCAGCTTTGTGTGCACAGGGTTAGCAACTTGGATGAAGTCTCTTATGAACAGTCAGCATCTTCCCATATAAAGCACAGGTTGTCCTTGCTGCAGTCTTTGTACTTGTCTGAGCCTCGTGATCAGATGGCAAGAATGTCAACTGGTAGAACTGCATTTAGCTTTTAAAAAGCTTGGGATGAGAGAGTAGGCGTATCTGACAGATGTAAGGAGAAAATTAGGGACAACCTTTTCTTTTGCCTTCCTTCTCAGAGGAAAGGGGTGCTTGCATCTGTTTCTGTTGCTCTCTGTTTCCCCAGGAAATCAGTTGTCAATCGCACATGCTGTTTTGTGTGCCAGTTTGCCTTGGGTTTAGCAAATCGCACCTACCCCCCAGCCTTGCAGGGTGGCCCACTAGGGCCTTGTTAAACCTCTTGATTTTTGCTGTCTGCCGAGAAATGCAGAAGGAGGAAGGATGTCAAACAGCTTGTTGGCCCTGGGGGGGCTATGTTCAGTTTGGTAGGTTATAAGGTATGTCACGAACTCCATGTCTCTTCCATAAGAGCCAAAACCCACCTCTGCCGCCTGTCCTCCAAATGCTCAAGTGACATATCAGTGCCATGTTGTTTCTAATTGTGTGTTTTGGTTCTAGGGGAGAAAATTGAGGTTGCTGCGTTGATCCCTTTTTAAAAAATCAGAAAACAGTAGAAGTGACAGTGTACCTTACATTCTGAACTTGTTTGAAAGAGCCGTCTTTATTTCAGTGGGTTTTATTGGTTTATTTGATTTAGCTATCCCCAGTGAAGGTACAAAGCAACTTACATAATTTGTTGCTCCTCCATTTTATCCTCACCACGACCCTGTGAAGTAGATTAGACTGAGATGGTGGGACTGGCCTAGGGTTGCCCAGCAAGCTGCCATGGCAGAGTGGGCATTTGAATCTGGGTTTCCCAGATAATAGTCCAAGTCTTGAACAACTTTGCCACAGGGGCTCCCATTATGTCCAAATAATGGGTGATGTCCTACCTTCCCCAAATGAGCCCCTTAACCTTGCTCTAAAGTCTTCAAACTTTATGTAGTGCAATAGTATGTTACAGGCCAATGTATTTAGGTATGGGTTATTAAGATTAGTTATCTTTTACATATGGGGAACAGAGACTGAGGGACCATCCTTTTTGCAACTAAAAGAAACTCAGTTTCCAATTTTGAGTGTCAGCAGACATTCTCTTTACTTGATTACAATACGATCAGCTTTAAGATCTGACATTAACACGTATCTCGTGAAATGTAAGCACACAAGTAACTTCTGATGATTTTTGGTAGCATCCAGATGAGAAGAGACTGGAAGGGCTATCCAAGCAGCTGGACTGGGATGTACGCAGTATTCAGCGTTGGTTTCGACAGAGACGCAATCAGGAAAAGCCGAGCACTCTCAGAAAGTTCTGCGAGAGCACGTAAGGAACTGTTTCTCAGTATTTCCTTTTTTAATATATTAGAGTCTGCTTCATGGTTTATTTGAGCCATTCTGTGTCTGAACTGCTGTATTATATATTTGGCAGTTGCTAGAAGTTAAGGATATACTCTTAAATTGAACAAATTACGGTATCTTTTCTCAAATGGAGTACAACACAATATTGCTTAACTAGAGTGAGCATAGATTGAAAAATTATTTCAGATAGTGGTGGAAAAGGAGAACAAACTATAGGTACTTAAAGTGGTAATTTTAAACCTTTCCAGACCTGGGAGCCAATAAGGTGCAAGCCCATGATTGTGTCATATGTCATGTGTCATATGAGTCATGTGACAGGTTAACAGGCGAACCTATTTTTCCTCGTTCTTTCATTTCCCCCCAGAGAGCATTCATTGGACCGGGGGGGGGGGGTCTGACTTGTTTAATTTTATACTGTTTGAATATTATATCTTGTGACCTCTTAGTGACAGATGACCTGATCATTGCCTTTTCTTTAAAGTTGGACGATTTGACAGTTATCCTTTCCTCAGTTTATATTCCCCAGTCCACACCTAGTATAATGGATCAAAGATGGTCCTGCCTGGGGGAAATCATTGATGACTTGCATACCCGATTTCCAGGAATCCCTCAAGTATTAGCAGGTGATTTCAATGCAAGGATTGGCAGTGACAACAAGTTTTCTTCAAATTATCTTTTCTTCAAATTATTAGGTCCTGGTAACAATGAATTTCTCAGCTCTGCTTGGCACAACAGAAAATCTAAGGATGCTGTAATGAACAGTGGTGGTTTAGAGTTGGCTAAATTTGTGATACAGAGAAATTTTATTCCTTTGAATGGTTATTTAGAGGTTGATGGAGCTGGTGATAAGTCTCAAACTATAATCCATTCCATTCTTTGTAACACCTTAGTTAACAGGGTTCTGCAGTCAGACTGTTTCCAACTGCTTGTATAATTTGCAGGAGGTATTAGAACTGTTTAGACCTCTGTATGTGAAAAAGAACCTTGATAGGACATGTTTTGAAGCCAAGAGAAATAGCTGGTTTAATAGTGACTGTAGAATAATGAAGAGGCATATTCAACAGAAGCATCGTGAGTTTAAAAGTAAATGTACAATATCAGTTCTCTGAGAGTTGATGCCTCCTTTTCTATATATTCTAAAAAAGGCAGCCATCTATTTAAAAAGTTCACAGAAAAGGATAACTTGTTTGCTACTTTAAGTTGTGAAAATAGCTAAAATTAAAATTCTCATACCACTGCTCAATGGAAGGTAACTTATCTTTTATCCAGTATGAGGCTTTTTGAAATTTTGCTGCCAGTAGCAGTATCAAAATCAGTTCCCTTTTTAGGATAGAGGGGTTTTGTGTATCAGATATTTCTAATAAGACAACTAAGGTATCATAAGGGACTTTGTATTGTGTGATTAATTCTACCTTTCTCAAGATCTTGTCCCAAAATAAACTGATTTTCAGGCACAACCACCAGCAGTGCAGAAAATTAACTGAGTTGCCACATCCTTTCCAGCATTGACGTGAGTGCCCAAGTGTGATATGATGAAGACGAGAGGCCCTGAGATACCACTGGCTCATAATTTTATAAGCTAGTTCTTTAATGTTAATAGAAGCTGATTTAAGAGGGAACAGCTTCCAAGTAGATGTTCAGTCATCCTCAGAGATATTAGATTTTATTTCTCTCTGCCACTTCTTAGTATACAAGAGACCCAAAAAAGTTTGGTATAGCATTGAAATAATACCTTTACAGTAAGTTTGTTGATTTAGTATCAGTGCCTCAAATTTTGTCAATGGTCTAGTAATACTTTGACAAATAGCTGATGCCTAGAACATATGCGATAATTTTAATCTGTAGATACCACCACCCCCACCACCCCCGGTATGGGATAAGCCTGTGTCTTCTCAGGTGGGAAGAAGGCTTGGCCTGTTATTGTAGAAACTGGTAAAATTTCTGGACCCAAGTCTTTCCTTCTGTAATCCCGAATTTGCAGTGTAGTTGTAAGAAAGGAATTCTGCTTCATTTCTTTAGGTCTTACTGAGGATATTTGCCACGCCAACTCTTCTAGGGTCACTTCAGGGCTATAGTTCTGTTCTAACTGACGCCATGGTGAACTACTGCTGGGTCCTAAATAGTGCAATATATTTTGTATTTGGGCTACTTCATAATAAAGATTATGATTTGTTTACAGGCAGCATGAGAGTGTGAGATGGGATTCTAGCTTTCTTATTATTCCAAATAAATCTATGTAACAACTGTTGCCATCAATTCAACTGTTTTCTAGAAATAAATATAGGGAGTGTTTGAAAAAAAATAAGAGGAAATATTATCATTTTTATTAGATTAATTTGCATCATCCTTGATAGATGAAGTTTTATTCATCCAGTCATTATTTGTTTGTTTTTTAATGAGAGTATCATAGTTTTTATCTGGTTAAGATATAGTAAATTTGGGGAGATATTAATCCCCTAGATATTCCCAGGAAATGGGATTCCATTTAAACTGGCATTGTGTTTTAATATAATCTTTGATTTTCTGTGCTACCTTCAGTGGTATTAATTCTGATTTGGCATAGTTTATTCAGAAACCTGATAATTCCCATACGTTTGTAAAATGTTTGTTATAATTGGAATAGTAGATGAACAATGAGATATGTGAAGGATTATATCTTCTGCAAAGAGACTAATTTTGTGATGCATTCCATTGATTTTTATGCCAGCAATATCTACATTTGAGCATGTGGCTTCTGCTCAGGGTTCTATTGATAAAGCAAGTAGTAAAGGAGATAGAGGGCAACTTTGTCAAGTTCCTCTCTGTATTTCTATTTCTCTAGATCTGAAATTATTCATTTTAATTTGAGCTGTTGGTGAATTGCACATAGCAGAGATTACCCAGAAGAAGCTCTCCCCTAAACCCACATGAGATAAATAAAAAAGTAAGAAGATTCCCTATAAGTCAGGGGTGTCAAACGTAAGGCCCAGGGGCCAGAACCGGCCCATCCAGGGCTCTTATGCAGACCGCGAGCAACTGGTGCAAGGGAGGGAACAGGAGACTGCTGGAGGGAGAGTGGATGGAGCCACTATGATGTCTGTGCCTCTAAAGAGAGAAGAATTGCCTCCTTGCCATCTATTTGGCAGTGGTTTTTCTGGTTTTAATTGGATAATTTTTTTAAAAAAACTATTATTGTAAGCCATCCTGAACCACAAGAAAAGGTGAGGTATAAATGTTGTAATAAATAAATCTTGAGTGAACTAAAGGGCTGGCAGAGCATAACATGACTAATTCTGGGGGGAATAAAAATCAACACAAGACCTGTACATAGCAGAATGACTTTTGTCTTTTGTGTATTTAAGTGTAGTACAGTAGCAAACCTTTGTTAATATTATGCTGGGTACTCTATATATTGCACTAGCTCTGCTGGGGTGCAAGAATCCACACACACACACACCTTCAATTTCTACTGCAGAAATTCTCTGGTTTGATTTTAGTCCTTTGGAAGCAATGGAGGATGGGGGAGCCTTTTTTGGGGAGGGGGCAGCGTATTTCTTAACATCCAGTCTGGTGAAGCTTGCAATCACTATTTTGTGATGCTTTGGCTAGTGTTAGTAAAAGTTAGTGCAAAGGCAGACTCCTAGTTCTCAAAAATGCCTTGTAGATAGATGTTTGGGATGATCATTTCTTGGGCTTCAAAATGGAGAACAGAAGCCCTCCCAAGTACCCGCTCAGAACACAAGTGGTGTGATAGTATTATTATTTTTTTGCCATCAAGTCATAGCTGACTTATGGCGACCCTGTAGGGTTTTCAAGGCAAGAGACATTTGGTGGTGGTTTGCTATTGCCTGCCTCCACATCAGTTTTGCTTAGCTTCTGAGATCTGGTGAGATCAGACTGTTCTGGGTTTATCCAGGTCAGGGTTAGGCTGAGAGTAATGTGACTGACCCAAGGTCACCCAGCAAGCTTCCATGGCACAACTGGGGATTCGAACCTATTTCCCACATCTTAGTCCAGCACTTTAACTGCTACACCACACTTGCTCTTGTGATGGAATAGCATGTTGAAATTTGATTATTATTATTTTTTTCCTGTCATGATTTATATATACAAAGTTAAATTTAAGAAATTTTTCACTGTCTGAGTTTCTTTTCTGGCCACTGAATACAAAGTTTGAGTCTAGTGGAACCTTTAAGACCAAACTTTTGAATAGAAAGTTTGAGTCTAGTAGCATCTTTAAGACCAAACTTTGTTCTGCTGCTTCAGACCAATATGGCTACCCATCTGAATCTATTTTCTGGCCATTATTATTATTCATTTTATTTCATGATTATTGATGAAAATAATTTTGTCATATAGAGGAGGAGCCCTGACCTGGATAGCCCCAGCCTAGCCTGATCTTGTCAGATCTCAGACGTTAAGCAAGGCCGACATAGAAATTGGCAGTGGCAAACTACCTCTGAACAACTCTGGCCTTGAAAACTCTGTGGGCTGTTGAAAAATTATCCACCCCGTCAATGCTCCCTCTAAGCTGTGAAGTCTTGTGGGCAAAAATTCTACTTTGTGAGCTACTTGCATTAAAGTTGTGGGCAAGCAATTTGGCTACTGCATAAATGTTCCTGAGCCATCCTTCCTGAGCGAAGACAAAAATGTGTGAGCCAGAGGATAAAAAAGTGTGAGCTAGCTCACACTAACTCAGCTTAGAGGGAACACTGTCCCAAGTGCCAAATATGCTAGGTATGCCACTGTTTGTGTGTGTGTGCGCGCGCGTGCGTGCGTGTAAGCTGGGAATTTGGAGAACCTGCTTAAACTGTTATTACAAAACTAAATCAATATATCGATATTTTAGGGGCATTTTTTAAAAAATAAGGAGGGGGGTGCTGTGAAATCACCAATGACAACAGCGATGATGACAGCACCCTCCCTTGAAAATCCTCATTGTTTAAGGCGCATACAGAAGAAAACAAACTGACACCGCAACTATGA